AGCTGAACAATTCGGAGAAACTATTGTTTTTTAGTGAATAGGGCTATCCTCCTAACGAAGCATGGCTTATCCAATCTAGAGCTTCATACGGATCGCTATGCTTCATCATCTTTTGACAATCATGACCCCTTATTTCTCAGTGATAGGGTGACCGATCAAGACAGGAACATCTCGAACATTACTTTGAAAAATATTGGCATTCACTTGTGCACCAACATCGTTTACCTTCGAGTGAAACGTATCAAGTGTATACATCTTGCCTCCACCATACTCACTTGCAAGGGTTATCTTCTTGGTAGTTTACAGGAAGCGAGAGACTGGATATTTCGTCATGACGAATAGTATCACAGAACTCCCTAAATCAATCCTTGTGATATTCCTGATTCCTGCTTGTACTAGTACCATCATGAAGTCATTCAGTCCGATTCACCGTCGTGGTATGTGTAATGTGTCCAACCATCTGCCAGTAGTTACGCAGGTAGAGCATTATTTTCGTCCTAGTTCCGGATAGAAATTTAGAGGGGGCTCACGTTCCGACCCTCCGAATTCAATGTTTGTGGTTTTCTTATGGGTTTCCTCAGTATCAGGAATAGTTTTCAAGTATATAAAAAGTATTGCTGGTTCCTTGAAGTAGCTGTCCTGCGCTGCCATTTTCACATGCGAATCATCTTTTTCACCACTATGGCATGTAACAGCACCCTTGCGGATAATTCTGCAACAACGATAGCTTCTCAAAGTATTATTCCTGATCCATGTTTAGTCATAACTCTTTTTCCTCATCATCATACCCTGGAGAGCTGAGTGGTAATCATCAACTGACTGGAAATACCTCCAGAAGTTTTTCCTTTCACATCCACCATGTATATATGAGTGTCTCCGGACTTCTGTCTTTCAATCTATCAATTGACGTATTGCTTGTGGATGAAATTCCTCTCGATATGCATTGATGAGGAAAGTTCTACGTCGTTGAAAACGATCGGGACTCGAATAGCGTGGAGATAAAAACATATCACGAATTGATACTATTGGCCTAGTGTCGGCTGAATTATATTACAATATGCCATACAATGGGCTAACGTTCTACTAGTTTGGCTTGGCCATAGCCAGCAATCTGCCGATCTATCATGTACTCGGCCAGAAGGCGGTCACACTGAGAAAACTCGACCAAGTAAATCGTTTTCTTGAAAAAAGGCAATTGTAACAAGATAATTTCCAGCGACGGTAAAGAAATGAGGTATCTGAAGTTGACAAAACAATATCTCTGGAACAATGTTCTGCTGTGATTCAACAGGAAACTTGGTGGTATCAACCAAATTGATATAAATTCTGAGTTCGTTGATTATAAGTGAATACTAACTTGGTGCTAGGTGAACGAATACTCACCATCATTGAATTATTTTTTTGAGAAGAAATCACTCGGACTGAGCATACTCATCGATGAAGACAATCTATCAAGTCGATTGGTACAGGTGACAGCCCACCTGTGACTATACATCTTTTCTCCATTCGGACATCTCCGATATATCATTCGGGTGCCCACGGCTAGCGCGAACACTCCTACACTCTTAGCATTCGTGAAGTATACAAGCATTTCCACAAGTGGAATCGAAATTCCAAGATTTTCTGTTTGTGTGCCGCGCTTTGAGCTGTGGAGTGTTGAGTTCTTGGTCTGTTATTCTTTCGAAGAAGTTGATGAGATTCCTAACTTCTCTATGAAGGTTCCGAATTCTCCATTCTCATCTCCATCACTGAAAAGAGATTGGACCAGTTCATTTGTTGGACTGTTTTTTCAGCGCATGATCCTGATATACCCGGTATCTAGTGTCTCGATATTTGTCATCAGCCTTACCTTTTTGTGATTTTCAGATTCATCATACCTTTACAATGAATGTTCGAAATGCATGAGTTTTCGTCTTCTACCAAGGTTATTATTCACGATGAATGTAATTTTTGATAGTTTCTAGCTGATGGCGAGTAGATAAGTCACTTATGACAAGTGTGTAAGTCACAGATGACAAGTAGATTGGTCACCTATGACATATTGACAGGTCAATAATGAAAAGTGAATGAGTAACTAATGACACTAATTGCAGATGAAAAAGTCACTAATGCTGAGTAAATAAGTCACCGATGACTTTATGACGTGTTCACTAACTGTTATCAATCTGAAATCCATTGGAACAGGTTGATAGCGGTAGGTGCACATTGTCAAGAACACAACTATTCATGTGGTTATCAACTTGTTACCTTGTCCGAAGTCCTCACTTGCCACTATTCAATATTCACTTAGGGTTGATGATTTTTCTCTCCGTGCAGAGATTCAATATTTGCAGGGAAATCATTTGGCAGAATTAACCAGCGTTTTTATGTAGAAAGTGCGATTTCGAACAATAATCGTCCATTTGAACTATAGAGGTGGGCGATTTCAATCGATCTACAATACCGAGGAGTCTATCCAGAAAATAATCTTACTAATCAGATTTTCAGTTGCATGACCACGAAGAATGGATGCGTCCCAGCCTTCAGCTGAGCTTGCCAATCTAGAGAAAGTGATACATTTCAGCGGTACTACATAATATTTGAGATGTAGAGAGACTGCAGATATTCATTTGGAAGGCGCACGAATTTGTGAGTAGAGGACCGCACACAGGCCTTTTTCAAAAGCTTTGTCACAATATAAGGTTCACGATAACTTCCAGAGTATGATGGATACTAAACGCGATAAACCAAGATGCCCGATGATGGTTCAATTATTTCAATCGATCAAGGAATATTCTCTCTATCTCAAAAAAACTGCCCGATGATGGTTCAATTATTTCAATCGATCAAGGAATATTCTCTCTATCTCAAAAAAACTCTTTGAAGCTGTAGATTTCTGGAACACTAACGGAACATCAAGTCTAACTCATCTTGTATCTTCTTTTATTGAACAATAATGCAAATGACTTTCAATCACTTGACTGTCCGGATACGACATGTTTCCTGTAGACCATGTGAAGTTAACTCTTGTACACAACCAAAAGGAATATAATAAATGGAAACCGGATTTTGATTACCTCTTACATTATATATCTTTACCGCCTTTCGTGTGGTAGGAATCGCTGAACTATCACCGTGTGACTTAAAGAGGTTGTTCTGCACTGCTCCAAAATAATGTTGAATACCTAATGAATATGTTTCGTTTCGTGCTATTTTTTGCAGTAAACCTGGTACAGTCGAATTCCCCCAATTCAGGATTGATCTTTTCTTCTGGTCCATGATATTGTCCTTTTCTCAAGGTCAGGTGCGATAAGGCCCATGACCACTTACCAGACATTGATCCACCCGTTAATGCACTTTCAGCATTCTAAACATCAATGACAAGAAACCTCTCGGCCAGAGTGAGTTGTTCTAAATATTTCATATTGACATTTTTGTTTTTATTTTTTTCATGACCAAAAAGGAGAAATCGATGAACATAAGACTTCAATACTTTTCAACCCTTTGCTTATGATATGGAATTTGATTGAATTATTTCTCAGTTGAAATGTTGGATGTTTACCTGGTCAGAACTTTTTTGTTATTGGATATTTTCCTGTCAAACTCATTCAGTAGCATAAGCAGGGCTAGTAAATTTCGTTCCTGTGCCTATTTAGGGCTAAATATCATTTTCTCCGCATTTTTGTGGGTTTAAGACTCTCTTACTGCTCTCATAGTTCATTCAAAGCCAGTGTAAAGTATTAATGTATAGTGTTTTCCTGTTGCACATGTAAGTTGGTATAATATTTTTCACCATAAGTATTCATCCTGTTTATAACTTCATTTCATTCCTGTTGTTTTTTATACCGATACTCACCCGACCTGTGTAACGAATCCAGAAAGTTGTATTAACGAATAAACGGTTTTTTTGTGATTGCATATTCCATATTTCTTTCTTCGTTGTCATTGTTTTCAGTTCCGAATAGTTCCAACAATTCATGTCATAACTTCCGATATATTCATTTGTCAAAATTGCAGATTATTATTATCAACTGACGGCTGACGGTGACGGCTGACACTGACAAGCCAGTTGTCAATTCTTCTTCTCATCTTTTCCTTGAACATTCCAGTCCTGTGCAACGGTGTCTCTGTGTTCTGTGTCCTGTCAGGCGGGTGTTCTGTGGTTCATGAAATTTTGACATGAATGGAAAAATATAATTGACCTCACCTGAATTCCGATATCAGAAAATCAGAAAATCGAAGGAAAAGGAAAGATGAATAGGAATTGAATCTGTTCAATTCGTTTGGAATTCTGTTTCCGATTGTACAGGTAGACGTTATGAAAAAGTTTGAATAAATAATTTTCCAGGCCTAACCTAAAAATACCAGAGACCTAAGAGATATTCAGCTTTGATTTCTGTAATTATACCGACTAAAAATAGCACCAGTATTTCAGGCTAAACCCAGGACTTGTAATTAAAGCCTACATTCCCTTGGCTCCTTATTGATTCCAGATCGATTCAATAACATTGACCCCTGGTTTATACTGTAGGTACCGAGGTATACCTCCTGTACCTTTCTCCACTGTTGCTTCTTTGGGCCCCTGTACGAAAACATTTCGTGCAGAGCAGGTAGAGTAAACTATCTCAAAAACAATCTGGCGCTTGAGACTTCCCCCCTCCCCGTCAAATTCCAGAGTGGTCTCCGCCCTGAACAGAGCGCCAAAGTAAAGGCCTCAGAACCAAAGACTGTTACAAGCTGAAATAGATGTTTCTATCCTTCTACTATTTTCCAGTTATCAGGTCAACTTTCTCTACAACGAATCTCCTCATCTTCAGCTCTAGCTGGTGCGTATGCCCACTTGTTATTCAACAAGAGTGGTCTAGTGGCCATGTTTTCAGCATGATCTTTCATGTCGCAACCACTGTATATTCTTTCTCTATTCATATGATTTAAAATGCATAACAAACACTGATGCTACCTCAAACAGCGACGTCAATTGAAAGAGTGGATTACCAGATGTAATTATCGTGTCGACTTACTATCGTGTGGTACAGTAGCTGCCAATTCTCTCTGCTGCACATAAAGGAGTCCAACTGGTCCTATAATCTTGTTGGGTACGCCTAGAAGCTGAGCGGCCGTTTCTCTGTAGACTGGATGGGTGTGATACAAAGAGCGAGAATCATGAGGACAATCTTCTTGAAGGACCCCATTCAGTACAAGAACCATCATGAATCTGGAAATAAAAATTACCATTGATTTTATACTTTTTCTCTCAAATCCATTCGATGCAATCCATATCGGTATTCATGGAGTAGTAGTAGTTTAATATAGTAAGTTCAAATTCAATTATGATGCTGTAGTTGATTTTTCAGGATTGACGGAATTGAAGTCTGACCCACTTTGGAATCAATGATAAGGAAACTTGTATTTCGATATGCGAGGGCAGTCACCAATTTCATTATAGAACATCTGGGACTGTTAACGAAATGAAACTTGTAAGTATGAAAATATCATAAGCAGTTAATTATGACTGAGCTGATATATTTTTCATGAAAGAGCAGTTGATTCTTCAGTGAAAATAATGATCTCAAAGATATCACTGTATCCGTTTATGTGGACAAATTATTAGCAGCTGCTTATGACAGAGCTGGTATATTCCTCATAATAGCGCAGTTTCTGGATTCTCCATTGAAAATGATAACTTCATAGATTTCACTGTGCTCATTCACGTTGGAAGGCAGACAAGGCAATCAATCGGAAATACCTATATTCGTTTGGGATAGAGATCACGTTGAGCTGATATCCTCTGGAAGAATGAAAAATGTTGGAAAAATCATTACTCATGACATGACACTTGGGTCGAAAGTGTGTATTCGATGAATTCAATAAATTCATTAGTTGCAGCAATATATGATATTTTCAACTGACATATTTATTATTTGCACTTATATTCTCTAGGAAACATGATATAAATACAGAGTGATATAAAAAAAACTACATTGCATAGTGCCACACAATAGAGGACACTGAAATATGAAAAACAGTTTCCAAGAACACAGGTCCCCAAGGTATAAAGATACGGAGTGTTGCATTTTTTTCATATAAATATGCAAAAACAATGATAATAGTACTTCAACAATTACATCACCTTTGCAGAGGTTAATTCTGCGCTTCTTGAATAATTTGAGTGCGTTGTCGGCTTCAAGATGCATTTGTACCGGAACTATTGCTCATAGCGACTTGGACGAGGTATATACCTCCCTTAAGTACGAAAAAAGGGATAACAAATTGTTTCAATCGAAAATAACATACAGTGTACAGCAAAACAGTAACGACCGATTCAATAGGGATGGAACCCTGTATGTACCGCCCTCTATCAGTAATCACAAAACTGAAATCATATTTGAATTGAGCATGATAAAAAACCCCTGTATACCACATTTTATCCATTTCTTGCGTCTTCGGCGAAATATATTCGAAGAAACAGAAAAAAAGTTCTTGCGGATCCGTGTTCATGGGAACTTTCTTTCTTATTTCAGTGTCTTCTATTGTGTGCCACTATGCAATGTACTTTTTTCTGCCACCCTGTATTATGTGGATTGCCACATTAATATAAACACGAGCTATTCTGTTCCGTCCAGAAATGGCGTCACCGACGCAAGATATAGAGATCTACTTGTGGTTTCAAACGATAGAACATCTGGGAATTATGCACATATGCAGGGTGCATGAAGTGGTCAATAGGTAGAACTATTGTTGGCAATTTCATTTTGAATTATAATCATTATGATTTCAGAAGTTATTCAATATTGTACACTATAATAAGTAATATATACACATCATGTATTACATGTATGAATATAGAAATTTCATGCAAGATCAATGAGTCCATTCAACATGTAACGAAGACGAAACTCTAGATTCAAGCTGACAGTTGACACTTACCGTGACAGATCGACTTCCTAGAAAGCAAGAATCCATTCAACTCGTTCAAGAGATCTTGACCACAGTGGTAAATTTCCATTACAGATATTGACATTCGAATTTTCATCCTATAATCGACTAGATGCTGGTGATTTGGTAACAAATTTGGCTATGGTCAACTTTACTCTGGAAGAGCCAAGAAGAAATATCGAGTTATGGAAGTCGGGAGCTCTAGGTCACAAGTTGTGAGAGTGAGGACTTCAAGATCCCGAGGTAGGAGACAGGTAGATTTGGGAAATCAAGATCTCGAGTTGTAGGAGTCGGAAACCCTACAGGCTCGCTTCATTGACGAAACAACTCTGATGACTGGCGCTGCAGATGACTGCTCAAGATCTGTGACTGAGATGTTCAATTTCATACTAGGTACTCCAAAAGTACAGACGAATCAGTTAAGGCGGGCCTTTCGCGACAGCTTTCCGACCGAATATAGCCTATATATATATACTAGTTCAACAACTATTTCTAGGTGTCAGTGTGATGTCGAAATCGGAATAAAATAATTAAATTACAGCTTTCACAGCTATTGTAGAGTTCTTCGATTTCGTCTGTTACAGCAGGTCACCAATAGGTGGCACACAATTGAATGCAAACATAGGTAATTGTATAATGTACGTGCAGTGTTGCCAGAGCTACTGCTCCACGGGCCTGCTCAACATGATTTCACTTTTCACTCCATTCAAGTCAAGCAAATACCTATATCTCGCTACAATGAAAATTTATGTCATGAGTCATTTTTGAAACTGTCTTCACAAGTAGTCTTTCGAATATTTCTTTTCCTTTTTAATTTCATTTCCTACTAATATAACTTATCATTATTGGCGTCGCCAGAAAAACTTCCAAGGATGGGGATCGAAATCATTGTTCAGGGCAAAATACTCAAAATAGTCTGTGTAATTCAGAAATAATGTGTGCAAGATTTTTTATCAAGTTCAGATGGCTATAAATAGAAATTTCGTGTTTTCTGTATAGGGTATATACGTAGACGATTGCCTAGTTTCAAATATCTTCATTCTTACGAATTCACACTGCTATTACTGATATAAGGGTTATATTGATATATACAGTGTGTAGAATGAAAGAAATCCTTGATTCAAATTTCATGTTCTCTAATTCGGACCTGCTTGCTGAAATACAAATTTCGATCATAATTGCACTTATGAAAAAAACAATTTTTTCGAAGTGAGAACTTCTAGGCGCGTTGAGCACTTTTTTGGATTTCGCGTCATCGTCACGACCCGTTCCGTGTCCCGTTATCGCGAGGTCAATGAATAGCAATAAATTTGAAGGGTGCAGTATCGCATCTCATCTAATATTATGTAGTATTTTGTAATTATGATTAGATTCTATTCTAAATTGGTATATGGAGGTTTTCGGGTTCGGAGATTATGATTCTTTCGTGAAAATTAGGATATTGAAGATGGCTGACGAGTTTTATTTATAATAATTATGATCCCATTCTATTCAAAATTGGTGTCTGGGAGTTCTCGGCGTCGGAGATTATGATTCTTTCATCATGGCTCCACCAATATGGCGCACGAGTTTCGTAATTATGATTCTATGCAATTTGAAATTTGTATCTAGGGTTTTTTGGGGTCGGAGATTATGAATCCCGAAATGAAAAAATTCAAGATGACGGATTCAATATGGCGAACGAGTTATGTGATGATGATTCTATCCTATTCAAAATTTATATATAAGGGTGTTTGGGGTCGGAGATTATGATTCTATCGTCAAAATTGGGAAATTCAGGATTGCAGATCCATTAAAGCGGACAAGTTTTCTAATTTTATTATCCGATTCTATTGAAAATTTTTACTGGTGTTTCAGGGGTCGGAGATTTTGAATCATTTGTCAAAATTAGGAGATTCAAGCGAACACCATCTCAAAAGTTTTTGTTAGTCTATCTTAGACAGCGAATATTTTCAGGTAATAAAGTTTGTCGAGTTGATAAAAATTCTGTTTGATAGTGATAAAACAGTGTATGTGTGAGTGTGATTAAATCGTACCAAAGTTTCCAGGATTCCCTGGTTTCGGTCTTCAACATAACGGTGAGAAATTAATTTGCCATCATATGCTTTCTATATCTCACAATCCATTTTGTTTTAATGGTCAACTTTTTTTAAATCATTTGAAAATCGAATTATAATGAAAAAATTATAAGAAAATTATGTTCATGCTGATATAAAACTCACAAAGTTATTGTATGAGGAATTTTAAAATGAAATATTTTTCTTGAACAACCTGTTTCTCCAAAACTAACAACATTTTCTATGAGAGATGTGAGGCTGCATCTTGATATTCTGATGTTTACTATTTCTAGCTCACACATTGACCATTTTGAATGAATAACCCTGTATATATTTCAAAGAAAATTTTAATATCACGGATTTCATTGAATTTCAAAAATCTTCCCCAAAGAAGATGTAAGTGGAATATGAAGTATCTACCTACGATAATTCTCTAAAACATGAACTGGATGTTCGATAACGTCTCCAAATGTCTCGAAAAAAAAAAGCTGCTGCTATATTTTCAAATATTTCGTATGTGGCTGACTTTCCTGTTGCCTCGCTTTTCTGCCCATTCTTATGAATTTTTGCGACATATCATTTGCAGCAGCTTGCAACACTGGCTTTTCAATTATTGATTATATGCCGGTTAGTTTGAAGTTCATCTGAAGTTCACGCAATTCTAAGTGGCACGTGGCGGACTGCGGAAAGACGGGGAATCACCGCGCGACCAATGAATATCCCCTCGGTTCGCCGCGGGAGGGAGAAAGACATATAACGATTTCTCGCTCAGTTTTGTTTTGTTGCCGTGGCGGTATTATCCTTTGTGAATATCGCCATATCAATGGATCCAAAATCTGAGAACTGTACTCTGAGAGTTCTGAGGCGAATGTTTTTGCATGAGTTTTAGAGTGAAATAACCTGAACTTTTGACACAGATCAACAAAGCTTTTTGAAGTTTGTTCGACAACTGTGCCATTCCTATTATTTCCATCTATATGCTGACATAATTATCGATCTCATGAATAGAATTGAAGAAATTCTGCTGAATTTGTATGTTTAAATTTTCAGGTCTACTTATATAATTATAATTCAGTGACAAATTCTAGGCCGTTTCAAACTACTCTATTTATTTTCTAGTTCTTTTTAGTTCGGTTCTCTATACCTCTTCATTTTCTCAAACTACTCTTTATTTTCTACTCACTTCTTTTTAGTATGGCTATCTATAAAAAGGTGTTTCTTT